GTTATTATTTTTTGTTATGGAGTGTTGCCTGATAGTAGCTACCAGAGTTTGGTTGAACAACTTCATATGAGGTTCTGTATGGCCAATATGGTCCTCCATTGACAGCTGGATCGAACTGTCGATTCAGGAACGATTCAGCTCTTGGAACATTGTATGGGTCCGGAGTTGTGGTAAACATCGACAGCGAACTAAAGGTTATTGTTTTAAAATTTTTTATAGATGAAGATTAGGCAGTAGATTTGACTCAACCTAAATTTATCCCATGGACAATTCATTTAATAATGGCAATTGTTAAAATTAAACTTTAAGGTTTATTTCATCTAAATAAGTATTTTGTGGAGAATTTTGGGCTATTCAAAATAAAACTTTTGGTCTAGATTATTTTAAAGTACAAATCCTCTTAGGCATTAGAATATTCGGTACGTTAGCCACTGGTGATGAATACTAGAATGTTAATTAAGATTAAAAATTTTACCTTAAAGAAGGCTGATAATACCGTGCGTTAGCAGTGTTCACTCCTAAACTGCTGTAAGCTGTTCTTGAAGATGACAAACTTGAGTACTGCGGATTATACGTAGACAGTCCTGTGTAATAGGAGCTGTAAGGTGATATTGTAGAACTGTAACCGGCGTTATAGGCATTTGTGTACCTAACACTTGATGGAGTTGTTCCGTAACTTCCAGATGTATAGTCATAACCATAAATGTTGTTTGAATTTGCTAAGTATGCATTTGGTGTCGGGTTACGTCGATAATCCGAAAGAATTCTCTGGTAGTTTGCCTGAATGATTCTTTAAAATTGTTGATGGTTTGACATCTTTGAGTATATTACTTTTTTCAGTAGCATTGATTATTTGTTGTGTCAACTTTAAAACATAAAAAACTGGTAGGGTTGTAAGAATAAAATAATTTTTGTTAGCGGTATGACTGATGGTTTACCTGATTTTGTTGGTCATCGCTCAGGACTGGTGCAGTAAGACCGCTGTCGTACATCAGCGAATTACCAGCACCGGAGTACGCATCACCTGAATATCTATTTTGAAGATAACGTTGTTGTGTTTGGGTGTCAACATATTGGTAATTTTCATTTTGCACCAGCGGTGGTGAAGAAGTTACAGAATTGTCGTAATTATAACCGTAAATGTTTGTTCCAGCGCCGGAGCTAGCTGGGTTGTAGTAAGTTTGACTGTATGACTGACTACCGGAACTGTATGGATACGGTGTTGCTGTAGTATATTTATATGGTGGAGCAGTTGTTGTACTATAGTTGTTGCTGGAATATGGGCTTGTCGGTTGATTATATAAGGTGGAATAAGGCGAAATAGTAGAACTGCCGCCGTAAACGTTATTATATGATGGTGTATTTGATGGCGTAACAGTGTAGCCGGAAGTCTTCGTTGTTCCGCTTTGATAATCTGACATCGCTAAAGAACCACCGGGTACTGCGGTATAACCTAAGCATTATCTTAGTATTTTTCAGAATTATTCTAAA